TGATCTGATGATGCGGATTTTTTCCACGACTCATTCTATACCAATATTAAGAATATATATATACCACTGCCATCATATCTCAACAATGGCGTAGCTGGATACCTGCATTTTATTTGGTCTCCTAAAAGCATTCAATAAGACACAATTTGATTGGTTGTTTCCTATYYTTTATGTRAAACATTCACCATGTAGKGGAAGGAGTAGAAATTCACTTTTAAAGGTTTCTTCTTTCAATGATCGATTTAGTATAGTTTTCATTGCATTTCWATCAAGYGCTCTTTGCAATGCTCTGTAMCTCTAATTTTGACTTTTACKTTTTTAGCTGTGCTGGGTTATGCTGCTATGAAGGAAGAGGTGGTCTTTGTTCTGTAAGACTGAGTGAACCATTATTGAAATTGAGGCCAAGAAAAGATTTAGTTGAGACGTTACTGGTGAGTGCAACTTGTTGGAATAAAACTGGTATAACTATACACTGCAGGGAGAGAAATAGGTTGAAAACCTAACCCTAACTATAAAACCMAGCTGAATACTATTTATTATGGTAATTGTTCTTGCACTTGCTGGATTGCAAATAACATTGATTCAATAACTTCATTCCTGTATTTTTAGCATGAAATGATCCATGCTTTGCTSTTTGTGACTCAAAACAACAAGGTATGTTCTGTTGTTCACAAGATACTCTCAGTTGTTAATTTAATAACTGATAAAAGTGTTTTGTACTATTTTAGGATCATGATGGTCATGGCCCTGAGTTTCATAAACACATGTATAGAATAAACAAACAAGCAGGGACTAATATTTCTGTAAGTACAATAAAACAACTTTGTCATATCTTATTGAACCAGGGGTATTCTTCTTGTCTATTTATCCAATTTTACTCAATTTATCAACGAATCAGGAACACATACTAGAATACACCAACCGCCATTTTGAATTTTGAAAACAAGCTCTATAAGACTCTCTGACCAGTGGTGTGTTCTGAGTGACAAAAGATTACMTATGTACTCCTGGGTCCCTTAGTTTAGATCATATCCATATTTTAACATTCCTTGGTATATTYTAGGTCTACCACAACTTCCATGATGAGGTATGAGTTTTATAATAGGTCTTTTTCATGAAACGGTCAGATGGTACTAAATCTGCCATGCTGGATGGCAATATACCCACTGGGGTGTTCGTATCAAAGAAAAGATAAGTTTGACRGGTTGCTTTCCTTTTGTTTTTGAGATTGATGTTTACATTGACAGATTTAGTACCAAGTGACCGTTTCATGTAAAAGGCCTATAATACAATTTATTTATGAACAGTATTAGTCTCCATATTAATTAATTTTTTATCGTTATATAAAACTTAGGTCAATGCATATCGCCAACATTGGTGGAAATGTAATGGTCCATGTCAGAAATGGCCACCTTTTTATGGTGTTGTAAAGCGAGCAATGAACAGAGCTCCTGCTCCAAGAGATACGTGGTGGGATGATCACAAAAGAAAATGTGGGGGTGAATTTACCAAAGTTAAAGAGCCTGAAAACTATGGAAAACGAAAATCTAAGAAGAAAGACAAATTAACTGAGAAAGGAAAAGGGAAAAGTGTTAACTCMGATTCAAAACCTAATCTTCCAACTTTCTTTGATAAAATGAAAAAGAATCAAACATCTGATAATTCATGTGGTGAGGTTGATAAGRAAGGAACAAGTRAAYACCATGGAAATATGTCTGATASTGACAGTAGTGATGACAACTTAGAGACTTCAACAAAAAAGCCAAAAATTGACAATTCTCTTCCTCCTGGGTTCCAAGTTTTTTCAGGGAGAGGTCATGTCTTGGGAGGCTCAAAAACAGACAAAGTTGAAAATAACAGAGTACAAAATCCTCTTGGAGTACACAACACAAATGATAAACCTACATGTAAAGCTACAACTGGAGTACACAACACAAATGATAAACCTACATGTAAAGCTACAACTACATCCAAACAAACAGAATCCAACTCAAGTCTTGATTTTAAGAAAGGATCTCATAATGGAAAAGYRTCTAAAAAGAAAACAGCTATTCCTAGTTTAACAATAATTGATGCCTTTGCTAGAGGCAAGAAGACTGTAGAAGATTCTGTTACTGGATCCAAGGAAAAACCAATCAATTTATGTGAAGATTCTTCAAATGATGTTCCATGTCCTTCTTGTCAGTCTTTTATACCTTTACACATGATCAATAACCATTTAGATGGTTGTTTAACAAGTGTATAATAATTAATCATCTCTTACTGACGCCTTTGTAATCACTACAGATATGTTTGCATTTACATGAAGATGGATAATCTTTTCATAATATTTTTGAAAAATTATTATCTTTTTCATGTTAATGCACATGACAATATGACTGTACTGATTAAAAAGGATGTCTGTGTAAATGTAAGTTATCAGTTTACATTATTAAATTTTAAAATTCATAGTAGATTAATATTAATTTTATGATATTGAAATGGAAATACCTAAATTTATTAAGAGTATATAATGTTTTTATATGTACAGCAAATGCCATATTTTTGAATGATTCTTTGTTCTCAAATATACAATTGAGAATTGATATTAGATCCAATAAAATATTGTCCTATTTCATTTTTGCCTGTTTTATAATTTTAGCCCATATCTACTCCTTGCCACTCATGGTCGTTCTATTCCACTCACTCATTCCCTTCAACTGGCAATTTATATAAGATTCTGTTTACATTCGAAGATAAAAATGCATTATTTGTAAAATATGCTAAAAACCATCCACTCGATGAGTATAGAATAAGGTGCCTGAAGTGATCAGAGGTAACCCTGGTAACCCAACTATAGTCCCCCACGTTCTGGTTAAAACTGACATTGGAAACAGATTACAAATGGATATTTGAGTCACTTTATTTTCCATATRTGAAAAATCCAAATAAATGACTGCACTGAATGACAGTTGACTGTGATTTTAATATCAAGACAGTAGTTCAATGATTGTCACGTCATAAGGATTCTTTAGCAGGGACTGACGCTCTCCTAATTCGCAGATGATGGGAGCGGCTCACCTTTCAGACCTGCCATGAGATTCTGTACTGATTTCTTAATCATGCTTTGCCTGCATGCATCAGTTGCTGTGCCAATGTGTGGTGTAATGATTACATTTGGTAGTGTGCACAGAGGATGGTCTCTTGGCAATGGCTCAGGGGTTGTGACATCTAGAGCTGCTCCATGAATTTGTCCAGTCTGCAGTGCTACGACAAGGTCATCTTGATTGATGATTGGACCCCGTGCTACATTGATCAAGGTAGCTGTAGGCTTCATACAAGAAAACTCAAAAGCACCAATCATGTGCAGTGTTTGTGGTGTAAGGCTGGCACAGATCACCACAAAATCTGCTTGCTTTAGAAGATCTGTAAGACTGTAGCAGAACTCAATTCCTGATGACAAAAAAAAAAAAAAAAAAAAAAAAAATATACATCTCTCTTTATTGGAACATACTTTATGATTATTAGCTAATAATAATAATCAAAGCTCTTTATGTTGTGAGCATTTTAAATGGTGCAGCCCCTCCTCTGGAGACACCCCCCCCCCCCCCCCCCACTTAAAACCCCTCTGAAATAAAATTGGATCTCTCAATTTTAACACAGCTACATCTGGAACCTGTGAATATCACTGCTTTCTTTATGAAATCATTTGAAGTTTTATTTTGCAGCTCCTACATTTGATATAATTACTGCCATGTTATAGTATACATTTGAAGAGAACTTTTACCTATTTTGTTCTCCAAGTCTTCTTTCCTTGTCCGACTGTGATATAGAATTTTCATTCCAAATCCTACAGCTCGTCGTGCAACTGCAGTTCCAATACCTCCAAGTCCTACAATGCCGAGGGTTGAGCCAAACACATTTTGTCCAAAAAATGCTGATGGATCTAGCTAAGACACCACCAGAATCAATTAGTAAATGTTTTTTTTATGAATGTTCTTTTACAGAATTGAGAAATATAAATTCATCTAAATTATGCAGTCTTTAATAGTCCATGTATTAAAAGTGTAGTATATTTTGAAACAAACATTGCACATAAAGATGAAAAAGAAGTATGTTTCTAACCTGCTTATAACTTGGACTTGATCTGCATATTGCATCGGTTTCTACGACTCTCCTTGCAGATGCAAGAAGCAACGCAAATGCGAATTCAGCAGTTACTTCGCAAACYTCAGYCCTAGTATTACCAACTTTGATTCCCCTTTTAGTTGCTTCTTCGATGTCTATGTACTCTGTACCAGAGCTAGTGCAAGAAATAACCCTAATGTTWGGATACAAATCCATAAATTCTGCACCCAAAGGAMGGTGAWTWCCATAAATCAAGGCCCCATCGACCAACGATCGCTGATCGTCGGGAAGCTCTTCATGTGATATCAACTTAACGTTTTCTCCACTCGTATTACACTTATCGATTTGGTACCGGTGTTGTGATAGATTCATACATGGGTGTAGTACACCTACAACAAGAAACGTTTTGGAACTCATTATTTTGCGTGACTTGTGTGGTTTTCCGGACTAGACTTCTTGGGATGCCTGTGACATTCCCTTAAACTGCAGTCCGCTGATCAGAATTACCTGAGGCTCACRTTTGCATTGAAAACAAATATGGCGATTGAACTGTTGTAAAAAGCAATGTAATCTTAAACACTTTGGCCAAAAAATGACTTGTTTCAAAAAGTTAACAGTCGTGCCTAATCGTGGTATATCCTAATTTTTGTAATATGGCCATGGAAGGTAAGAAAAAACAGCAAATAAAATCGAAATTCTAATATTAACTTGAATTGAACTCTGCACTGTCTCCATTTTTCCTTGTACGTCATTTCGTGTATTAGCTGATAGACTCTAATGCTTGGATTTTATAAACCAAGCTTATTTTTGTATGAATCTGTGCGTTATCGTGTATTGAATTGCATGTAAATATAACAGCCAGTTAAAAAGTAATGGCTTTCTAAACGAATCGATTATTTCAGTTTCGGGTTGTCTGGAGTGCTCATGATTTTTTAAGCATTTCAATTTGTTTCAGTCATGTGATTCGCCTAATTATCCCTGAAAATTTTACTGTTAACTCGTATTGAAACAGGTGTACATGTAAACCTCCATAGCTGTATTTTTTKATTTCATTTCATATCTGTCTAGATCTTGTAATTGGCAAAGATATTCTCTTGCAAGAATATGAGACACTACATAACCTTCTTCAAGCTCTTCCACATCGAGCCCAAGTTGGGCCAAAGACGCTTGTAGGACAAGTGCGTGGCATCAAGGAACATGGCATGAAACAYCTATTTAGTTCTTTAAAAGAAAATCTAGCTCATGAGAACATTGATATTGATTATTCTTGCTTTGATGTGTCACACCAAGTTGTGGCACTTGGCTCAAATCTTGGTATGATTTTCTTTTATGATCGTGAAAACAAGCAGYTGACACGTTTTTCTAGTCATGTGAGTATGTTTTGAAATTAGACTAAATACGTTTAGTAAATAGTCAGGTATAGAATAATGCAACTATCGAACGCAAGGTATAAAATCTCCAAATAATATTTCTACAATGAGTTAAATGTATGTTTGCAGACTTGTCATGAGCCAGTGACATCTATCAAGTTGTTGTCTTTGAAAAGTTTCTTGGCAAGTGGTCATCAAGATGGGTCTGTTCTTATCTTTTCTTATTCTCTTTCTCCAAGATCACTTCCAAAGGTAACTTAGTGTTGATTGGTTAAATTTGGTGCATAATTACTATTGTAATAATTCTTAATTATTAAACTTGTAGTCACCTGTGACTCTTTGTTTTAAAATAAAAGTGTTACTGGTAACAGCCAGTTGTAGTCTCATCAAGAGCACTGTATGCCAATGTCATTGAACTTGGTACTCATTACCCTCCCATCCCTAAGCTGTTGGACCAGGTTCTCTRTGTTGGACAAAGTMATTGATAACATTAATAGTCAGGTGTTTTCTTTATTTTCAGTCGGAATACTTTTCTGTATCTGGTGTKCATACAAGTACAGTAACATGTCTTGAATGGAGCCCTGATGGTAGTCTATTGTATTGTGGTGATAATGCAGGAAATATCTCTGCCACTGTTGTCAAAGTTCCTGGGGTAAGAATATTGGTAGTCGTCATAAACAAAACATCTCATACTACTTGTACATAAGACATGCAAATAGCTTGTATGTTTTAGCTTGAGTTACAGTCAGAATTTTCTCATAAAGATAAAAAWTGATAGAAAATTCTGGCTTTAACACAGGATATGCATATGAAAGTTCTGGAGTTTTTGTCCAGCAAAATCTGTTCTACAGTAGTTYTAATCACAGATATTGTTTGTTTCTATTCTGAAGGTCACCCAATCAGTGCTATTATTTACAGAGAATTCATCAATTGTGCAGTTGTCCTATTCTCAGACAGCTCTTCTAGTATCAACAAGGAAGAGAACAATACTTTGGAGCTTTGCCACTGAACAACCTGTKCAAGTTGGACAGAAAGAGAGGAAAAGGTAAAGTTGTAATGAGATCAGTGCTTTTTTTTTCGGTCCGGTATCCTAGTCATAGTTGGCTAGCGCGCGGTCCGGTTTTTCATGATCTGCCCATTTCATGGTGTCCTGCAGCTAGGCTGTTAGCAAAGTTGCATAAAATACAAATAAAAAAATAAAAATGTTRTTTACTGGCTATAGGTCGATCTGTATAGGAAAACAGTGTCCTTGGTCTTTTATGTACAGACCTGGCTGCGCTCATTCCGTACTGTCAAGACCTCGGGCAGTGTTTTCCTATACAGACCCTCCAGCTGGTAAATAACATATATATATTAATCAATAACTGATCTGTTATTAAAGCTGGTTAATGATACTTCATGACTGATTGTATTACTGTTGTGTTTTTACTATACAATATTTTCCTTGTATCTCCTCTTCAGCCCTGGCAGATATGGAGCATGTTTTTACCCTCCAGCAAGAGTTTTGATGGATGATGAGAATGAAYCCTCRTTAACAATCTATGCTGCAAGGCCAGGACTACGATTATGGACTGCTGACATGGACGGCAAAGTACAGGCCACCTTGATGTACAAAGGACTAATGAGTGAAAATCCTCCTGGGGTTAACACACTAACACCCCTCCCCTCCCCCTCACTGGCTGAGGCCACTAAAACAGGCCAATCATCTTTAGGCACACCACAGTTTGGCCAACTGCAGAACTTCCATGGTCAGTTTGTTGTCACTTGGGACCTGCATCAACTCTGGGTCCTTGATACCTCCCCCTGTGCATTGGTKTGTCATTATTTCAGTTCCCATGGTGATATTGTTGATGTATGCACTGTTGGCCATGAAATTTACATCCTACAACAAAAAGGCGAAAGACAAATAAGAAAGTTTTCCTTGATACCAAAGCTACCGAACCCACTTCTAGAAGTTCGCAATCTTGTATCAAACACACGAAAGCTTGAACCACTGGATGATTGTATGGATGWCGAAAAGAAAGCAACTTTGAAAAGAGATGAAGTTGTTTCGAGTACAGAYGATAGTCAACCAGCGGAGGATGTCCTCCAGGAGGACGAGGATGATAAACCCCAAGACCTCGCTGCATTGGCTGTCAAGTTACAGGGTGTTGYTGATGAAGATTACGGGGATATCGTMTTTAAGCCCAAGAAGTCTAAACGAAAGCAGAAAATTCCAGGTAAACATTTTATTTATTTTTGGTTATTTGCAGTACTTTTTGGTCCATTTTTCTTTTCTAACGTTCTTTTCAGTCTGTATTTTGTAMTCACTTTCCTTTCTTTATTAGGCTCTACTTCCATTCATTTCATTTCTCCTCTTGCTATCCCTTCTTTTTCAAATCTTTTTTTATTTGGGAATTTTTTTGAGTTTGCCTTACTGCGTTCTTTTCCGATTCACTATATTATTATAGTTTGATCACTCATTTTGCTGATCGTTTGTGACTAAAATTCTCTTTTCCCACTCTTTTCACTAGAAAATCAAGACAGCAGTCGAGACTCCGAAAGTATCACAGAAGAAACGTCAGACATCTCATCTGAACTTGACTACCTTGATCGAAGTGTATCGAATACAACTTCAACAGACGATGATTCACCGAGCGCCCCACGATTAACCCTCGTCGATGCTCAAACAAACGTCGAAGTTGTCTTACAAGAGAACGCATCTCTAGATGGTTGCTTTGAAAAAATGGAAAATGAAAGTGACTCCCAAGTACAAACTCCTACAGACGAGCCAGTGGACAATCTAYTATCACGTGATCACATTCTAACCCAATCAAAGGATTCTGTCTCGACACTCGACCAAGTYATCARCCAATCAGATGAATCAACAATAGCATCAGATAAATCATCCATCCAATCGGATGAGTCAGCTTTGACACGTGTTCACAAAGTTAGCCAATCGGATGACTCCTCGATTCTTGATGAATGTTCTGTACAAAATCCTGAGATAAACCACCTCGATTTTCACAGCTTTCCTCCAATTTATTCTTCAACGTCATTGAACATATCTGATCTTTCATTTTCTGATACTTCTTGTGACAGATCTATGGTAAGACAGGAAAACATTCCTTATTCTCCACAAGAGTCCAGCCAGCGACGCATAGATGTCATCAAGGATTCTCCGCAGTCATCTGAAGAAGATTATCGCACAGATTCATCATACGAGACGCCGCCAGTTTGTCTGGACAACGATGGTGCCGAGGAGCTAGGAGATACTTCTTCCTGGGCAAGTTCTAGCCGTACGCTGTCAGAATTAGACTATGCATCGCTAGAGTTTTTCCGCAGCATTGAGCGTACGTACACCTCGCAAATGTCCCGAGAATCCAAGACAAGTCAAACATCTGCCGATCAAATGCATTTGCTGGTCGATAGTTGGTCGGATGTCCGACTCCCTTCGCCTGGCTACGTTACATTTCTCGACGTCTCCGACCTCCATATATGGGTCGTCACAAATTACGAAAGTATTTTCTACTGCCCGACACATTATGAGGCTGTCACGTGGACGCAGCTTGAAGGCCAGGCTAGGATGATCTCTGTGAACAACTCTGGTGACGTCATTTGGTGTGTGGATGGAAAAAACAACGCGTTTGCYCGTCAAGGGATTCGCGACGGTAACCTRATAGGCAGTCAGTGGCTTATTGTTGAAAAGAACATTAAGTACGTCGCCGTGGATGACACGGCTGTGTGGGGAATCATGCAAAATGGTGATGTTTTTATGAGGATCGATGTCTCAAAAGAAAAACCCGAGGGTAAAACTGGCAAGACTATTGCCAGCAATACCGACTTCGTGCAAGCATCTTGTCTCGATGGTCTCGTGTGGTTCGTTGACAAGAAGAATATCATCCATGTTTATAAAGGTAAGTAGATGTTTGTGTAGGTGTGAGATGTGGGAATATAACACTTGATATTATTGTGTTGCGCTTGTTGTGGACCTATTGTATTGTAAAGTGTAGGGTGTGATGAAATTATGATATTTACATGTASAGTTGTGTTTTTTAGAGACATGTCGAGAAAACCCGATGAGAAAAGAAAACTGGCACAAATTAACAGGTATTCAGTACAGAAAAGCATGGAATATTTGTACTGAAAGCTTGAAAGTCTCCGGCTTTATTTCTTCTCGCACTTTTTATGCATCTTGCAAACTACCTCATAACCTAACAAACATTACACAAACCTCATCGCATTTATAATAACAAAATCTTTTCGTGCGCTCTAGATTATCAAAATCCTCATACTTACTCTTATAAAACTTCTTTCTTCTACAGCGTTTTCAACCCGATGGGCGTGTCTGAAGATCTACGGCTGGTCCTGGATTGTTGACAACAAGGGCTCTTTGTGGTTCACAGATAAAGTCACTCATGAAAATCCTTGTGGTAGTGAATGGTACCAAGTGTCKTTAGGACAGTACCTCATGCAGGATAAGACCTTACTGGACACTCTGTGGTCATGGGTGAGACGAGGCGACGAGACCAAGCTACTCACGGCCAGCCCTAAAGCAGGACTATGGATCTTGGGAAAGAATGGGTCCCTCAACTCGTCACGTGGTCATCTTCTGGGTACCCATTGGCAAACGATTTCACCAACAGGTGTTGCAAAATCAGTATTTTGGTCGTATATCTCTGCACGAGGATATAATGCTACTGAGGGCAAAGGTAGCCTGTGGGCTCTTCAGCCAAGTGGAGAGTTGATCTGTTTCCATCCAGGATCTCGCACCCTTGCCGTAGAATCACCAAGAACTGTCATCAAGCTAGTAGCAGCATCAAGTCAAACGGTCTGGGGTATTACACACAACTTCAAAGTCGTCCAGAGACTCGGAGTGATGGAGGATTTGTGTCCACAGGGGGTAAATTGGAAGAGTGTCGAATTGTCCAGTTTCTGCGTGGGGCGCGTTTGCCATATTAGTTCGGGTACCCTTTGTACTTGGGCAGTCGATGAATCGGGTGGAATTTGGCTCCGCATTGGGGAAGTTGAAAACACCGACAAACTCATTTCTCAGGTTTGGATTGAAGTTTCCGGTGAACCTCTTCCTGGAAACCGGTTCGTTAAGGTTGCAGTAAGTCCAGACGATGCCATTGTATGGGCACTTGACGACAGGTTCAACGTGTATGCTAGACGTGATGTCACTCCCAACTTTCAAGTCGGAACATCATGGGAAGTTGTTCCTGGAACCATTGTGAAGGATTTGTGCATTAGTAATGGTCACGTGGTATGGGCTGTGTGCGCCAATGGAGACATAGCATGCCGATATGGTGTTAAAGAAAGCTATCCTCTTGGTGATTACTGGAAAAAGGTTCCAGGAAACTTTGAACATATCTCAGTTACACCTGATGGAGAATTGTGGGCCATCAATTTGAATGGTCAGCTGTATCGCCGCAAAATCAAGTACTTCTATGGTACCCAGTCCCCYTTTAAAGAGCGCAAATACAGCTGTCTGTTTGGCAGTGAAGAAGAATGGGAAATTATTTGAACTCAATTATTCAAACGTTTTGATAGTTTTAAAGTTAATGGCTTTCTCAGTTATTTGTCTCTTTTATAGCCATTTGATGATATATTTTCTCTACCATTACTGTAAGGCTGTTAGATAATGTCTTTTGGGTGTTCTTTTTTAACCAGCAGTTCAACTACTATCTTGCATAATGAGCTGCGGTGGTATTTCGTAAAAATCATGTATAAAGTGCAATAAAGTAGTTATTTTYATATCATATCGGAAAGTAATGTTTACACACTGATGATAATTTGTTGAGACATTCACTTCAACAAATCATTTAGAAAATAATGAGTAGAAGTCGAGATRTAAACGTCACGAMTTAACGATAAATCAACGTTGAAATGGTGAGTAAGTATTGCTCATTTTTACATTGTAAAAGTTCTTGAATTACGTAAATTTACGGAATAACCTCTTGAAAAGACATTGAATATTGTAATTAACTAACGATTGTAAAAAAAATGCACGATATAGGTAGTTGCTATATTTTAAATGTATAAATAATGAATTCGATTAATAAACGGAACAAATACAATATAGTGGTTCTATTTGATTAAAATTGTTTGCAATACTTAGTCCTTACGTTGGTCAGAGATTAGCAACAAATTTCGAAGTTTTGTACTTTTTTAGATGGTGGAGGGGGTTGTTGACGTGGGGGGTTATTTTGATACAGTTTTAATTTGTTCAACACCGTGTCAGTTTCTAGAACTTGAAATAGACAGATCGCGAGACAAAGAAGAAAGGAAAAAAGGAAGAAGAAGATCTAGACAAAAAAGAAATACCGGAAATAAAATATGAAATATGGCTATTCTGGGATTCGAACGTGCGCCTAATGAATCGAAAAAGGTTGGGACGATTCCCCCGAGACATTCTGTGAAGCTGAGGCGTCGAATCGATTTACATTTCGGTTAGAGATTTCGGCTCTTCCATGCTATCCMGATAATTGGTCCTAACTTCGCGCTAACTAAAAAAGCCAGTGAGGGAGAAGCTATCCGGCCCCTAGACACTGATGGATAACCCCTTGCACTAACTAGGCAACTATCGAAAGTATAATTTCAAATTGGGGTAGTCTATTCGGCGAAAGTGTCAAGTGGTCTATTATTATGTAAATGAGTGTGGTACAGTGGCGCAACTCGTTAAGGCGCTGGCTTTCAATCTGTGACGGCACGGGGCTCGAATCCCGACACACTGTCGTGTCACTTATTTTCCTTCCTTTTTTTTACTTAATTAATTTTTTATTATCGAAAAGTTAAAAAATGGTAAGAAGATGAAGGGACTGTAGTAGGAAAAAACTGAAAAAGTATTTAARAAAATAAATATAAGATTAAATTAAAAATTCCGCCCAACATCCCTCCTGGTCGTCAGTGTGCGCGAAGTAACATTTTGAGCCCGCAATTCAAGATATCTGCGGTCATTAAAAACAAGATGGCTTCCATCGAGGAAATGAGGACTCGAGTTGGTCTCGAAGAACATGGTGTAACTAATGTAAGAATACAGTAAATATACAAATATTTGCATAAATAGTTTTATTAGCTCATATGATCTTGTACAATTGATAAATTTTGTTGTAATTCAGACGCGAAGTACAGATTTTCCTGGCAATTACGATGGCTATGATGACACGTGGAGTCAAGAAAAGTTTGAAGAAGTGAGTGTAACAGCCAGTTTAATGTTATGACTGAAGAATAACTTAAGAATACTGCAAAATCATTGAACTATAATATTAATGGCGATGATGCAGAGTCTTACCATATCTTGCTAAGTAAAATGTTTTTCTTTTCAGAAGTTTAAGATAGATGTCATTCGCATGTCATCAAATGATATGGAGTTCGACATGATTGGTGTAGATGCATCTATTGCAAATGCATTTAGACGGATTTTACTAGCCGAGGTAAATCTTTGTGTTTTATACTTTTTTAAATGAGTGCAAGCCAAGCCACAGCCAGAAAGCATTGTAATATAAGGTTAATGTTGTAACATTCTGTGTTACTACAAGAGACAAGGTGACAATCTTCACCACTGTTGCAATATATTTTAGTTAAGCCTCCTTTGTTTCTCTTTTTGTACAGGTTCCAACAATGGCCATTGAAAAAGTGTTTATCTATAACAATACTTCTATCATTCAAGATGAGGTATAGTAAATAGTATGAAAACGCTAAATAGAGGCACGAAGAGAACTAAGCCTACTGCATTGGGAGGATTTCGCACAAGCACTGTTCGAAGTCCTTCTGATTAGTACTGAGTTCATGTTGTAAACAAGCAATTCATACACTTGGTTATTCATTGCAAATTGTTGTTATTCCATGTGCTTGCAGGTTCTTGCTCATAGATTAGGTCTTATTCCAATATTTGCTGATCCAAGAGAATTCTCTTTTCCTAAAGAAGGTAAATTATTGATGTTTGTAATGATCAAAATTCAAGAGAAAATGACAGGGCATGATTAACAGGATCATAATTGACTGACCATGATTGACAGAACCATGATTGATAGAATCATAATTTACAAGGCCATGATCGACAAATTATCTGATTGACAGGTCATTGATTGCCAGGGCTGCGATTTCCCAGTGGTTAATGAAGTCAGCTCTAGTGACSTTGCTTACAAATATCTATTATTATTTTGAAATGTATATTATTGAAGGTGATACCGATGTCAAAGATGATACAACGTTAATATTTGACCTAAAAGTTAAGTGTATTAAGAACAAAAATGCACCTAAAGATGCAACAGATCCTGATGAACTATACATCAACTCTAAAGGTATGTCATTAGTTTGATGCAAAACTGCTATAGTCAAGAGTATGAGCACATGCTAGTGGGAACCTCCATAGTATTCCCTAATTATTAAAAACACCTCATAGCACATATTACCAGCAACTGAAAGAAGTTGAAATTGAATCTTTTCGCATTCAACTTTTTCCTTTTTTTTCTGATTTTTTATATAATTTGATTTTTGCAGTAACAACAGAACATTTAAAGTGGATCCCAACTTCTCAGCAGGCTAAAATGGTGGGTTTTATGGTCAGTCAGTCAGTTATAGCCTGTCATTCATTCATTCAGTCAGTTAGTTAATGTCTGTCATTCAGTCAGTCGGTCAGTTAATGTCTGTCATTCAGTCGGTCAGTCAGTTAATGTCTGTCATTCAGTC